TATTCAAGTAAAGGGGCGCCGCCAATTTCAACGCAAGATTTGTAGGTTTCAGTAGGAACGCCGTTCTCCACGAGCGCCCTGTTGGTGTGCAGCCTCGGTATTTCAAAGGCGATATATTTCTCGGAAGAAAGGTTATACGACGGTGAAGAGGCCAGAGAAGAATAAAACTCCGGTGCAGAGGAGAAAATAGATGTTATTGGTCGGTCATCGAAGTAAAACCGGCACTCGAAGTGCTCACGCGTGTGCTTGGCCTCGATAGTAATCAGAAACCAATTCGCCAATCACATCACGAAAGGAGTCACTCAGTGCGTGAAATAGGACCTCGGTCGTGGTTAGGTAAAAGGGATAGAGTGACGTTAATCCCTCTTGGAGACGCCACTTAGATTGTTCCTAGGCCATAAATGTCGGCTGGTAGTTTGGGAAGGAAGCAAAGAGCCTACATGTATTCTCTCATGATGAAAAAAAGTGATAGGTAGTCGGCCTGCAAAAGACATCGATAGAGGTCCTGTAAAAACTCATCGTCCTTAATCCATCCCCACTTTTTGCACCGTAAGCAAACAAATCCCACTAAGCACTCGTTGAGTGGAAAATAAATGTGAAACGGGTTTATTTCAGAGCGAGGTGCAAAATGACGGCACTCCCCTCAATACTGAACTACATAGGAACCAAAAGGCTATATGCGCCTCTTCATATCTACCTCCGACCAAAATTGAAAATAACTAACATGGCAACGCGGAAGCAGGAGAACTGGTCGCTTCTTAGTTTCCGCACATGAAATCCCGGAGGGTTTGGACGACTTGTGTTTGCGTGGGCCCCAAATGAACAGCATAAACACTAGAATAAGCCCATAAGATCCAGGCGAGTCTTCACGATTAAGACCGGAAAGAATAGGTTAAAAATCGCATAACATGGCTAACAAACGCAGTCAGCGTCCACCAAACTAGTGGCCGGTTTCTAGAAAAGCAGTGAATGCGTGTCTTCTTCGGGCATGTTTATGTAGGGCTTAAGACTGAATGGTCCAGTGGGAGGTTGTTCTAAGAGAAAAGGCAACTCATGGAAACGCACTTGTGGTCATGCCACAAACAGAGGGACAGTCGAACGGTCAAACACGATGCAAAAATCATCGGCTATAAACGATTGCGAATTTTATTTGCCAGCAGTCCTAGGAGTGCCTAAGTTCTCACCATTAAGGGGGCCTCTGCTGCAGCCAAGCCCGCGTTACGTGTTCTGACTGTGAACACCGAGACACAGTCGAGACGGAAAAGTGCGTCCGATGAACGGGCCGAAGATACCGACTCGGATGCATGAACATTCAACACTCGTTCGAAGGTTGTAGTTCATGACGCGCAGACGAAACACATCCTCAATTTTGACGTCGACAAGGTTCTGAGCAGAGGTGATGATCACACGCCAGGGTGGATTCAGAAAGTCTGACCGTTAACCCATCTTTCAGTGAACCGCACGGAAACCCACCTATGTCATATCGGGCTTTGCGAACCTAATTAAGAGAGGCAGTCTAGGCATAAGACCCCCTGGCAGCCAATTATTCTCGAGGTCAAGAAGCATGGGTGCGAGGCAGACCACCGCGAAAAAGGGGTCCATTTCGGACCTGACGTCAGCATTGGCGGTCTACATGTCAGACACAATGCGTATGCGACGCGCGCGCTATGCAATGACAGTTGTTCAAAGAATTCCCCAGACTCTAGAGATAAGTTGTCGAATTCGGAACCTCAATCGTCAGTATGAAAATGCACTCCCTCCAGAGAACGCCTGTCCGTCTTTTAACAGTCTGAAGTAGAAGTAGGACGAGGAATCAGCTTAGAAGCAGTCTGTTCCGTAAAAAATCGAGGCTTCGGAGGCCCACGGCATTCAGTTACCGTTATCTCAACGGGACACCAGAGAGAACAACACTTAAAAATTAACCCAGAGCATAGAGTCAGCCACCACGGAATGCAAAAAAATGCAGCGCTTTTCTCGAACAGGTGCACAAGTCAGACCCAGTGCCGAAATCAACATTCAAAAACTATCGCAAGCCCGTACGACTTACTATGCGACAGTGCCTAGGGCTGAAGAACCGAAGGCATTTCAACAACGCGATATAATCGAGACTACCCAACTCTGCCGTGTCCGTCCCAACAACTCATGGTTTACTGCACATCTGTGGGATAACAAGTTACTCGAGATGCCGCTATCATATGCAACACGTACCAACTTCCACGCATCCCGCAATGGAAGAAAACGGCAAGATGATTTACTTTAGCTGACTCGGTGGATTACTTCTGTTTTAAGATGGACAAGAGAGGCATCAAAAAGCCTTCAACCAATTTGTGCAGAGCCTTCGAGGGCCCCTGCGCCCCGGATTATGAACTCTACCTTTTGGTAGTTTTTGAAGAAACGAGGGACCTAGAGGTGACTATCCTCAAGCGTGCCAAAAAAGATTCAGATTTGTTAGTAAAGCTGTGGTCACCTCATCCGGACAACGGATCTGACAACCGCGTGAGAAACTTCCCTTAAAAACCTCTCTATGTGATACATAACTTGCAGGCCTCTAGTGTAGAGCCACTTTTAACACAGAGTTCACTGCTGCTGATGGATAGCTTTCGGCAACAGATGAGACGGAAGAACGGCTTGGCCACCAAACCTCCCCCGTGGTCAAGCGACATGGAAATACTAGACTCTTAGTAAGGAAGGAAGAGGAGCACAGACGCCTAAAGGCGGATAAAGGTTAATGTCCTAAGAAAGGTAGCTCCACAGCGCTGCTAAGAGATTTGACCACTAGGACAATGTTCAGAGTTCGTTTGATGGCCAGCAACCAGACCGACCTTGTCGAGTCAATGAAAAGTCTAGTCACGAAAATAAGCAAAAGTCGGGCAAAACTCAACGAACAGTGAAACAGTCACATCTGAATGACTGGTTTCCTACGAAACGGACCGACCTTGCTACGACTGGCTTTTATAGCCTCTCGGATATGTACAAGAAAATATCTCGCGCAGGTCAGGCGTTCCCCTAAGCGGCACTGCTGCGTACGGTTCTGGAAATACGGATGTTTGGTCGTCTTAAATTTTCATTCGAAGGCTCACCAACAACAGACGCTCTCGCCAATTAACTCCTTGAACGTATGAAACATCTCAAGTTTGTATCAGATGGGTCTATGTTATCACGTTTCACGTTCATTCCCAAGCAATTAGTGGTAGACTTCTGGCTGAACGTTACGAGAAAAAAACCCGTGAAGTCCAGACAAGTTCTCGAGATTCTACGAGACTGCCTATTTATATTTCTGCGAACAGGTGTATGCAAAAAAATAAAGGGCATTCCTATGAGCTCCCCCCATGAAACGACCAGAGTGCAGATGCGGGAATAAAAAATATGGTATTGGAAGCATCCATCAGTTTCAGAAAGATGCTATACTTCGGCAGGAGAGATTCTTTTTTGTTTCAAATGCGTAGCTGTGTCCGCACTCTATGCACACGAGTTCAAACAGACTGCAGCGTATCCATCGAGCAGAGCTGGACAACTAGGCCTTCGTAACCTCCAACGGATGCGCAAGTGCTTTTAGTGAGTGAAGCAAGGAACAAACTAGGGGATAAAAGCCAAAGAAACTGCACTCCGAAGCCAGAAAAGTAGGCATGGCCATAGGCTTGAGACCATAACTCGCCGCTGTGTAATACAGACAAATAGCACACTACCACATGCTGAGACTTCAGTAGCTGTGTACAAAATATGTTGCAATTATAGGGATTGCAACTGTGTTGGTGGAACCGGACAAAAGTTGCACAGATTGACAACTCGGATGCTGAACCAGAGCTCTCGAAAAGTACCTTATAGTGGAAAGATTGGTCAACTTTTGACCTTCAAGGAGCGACAAGCCTAGGTAGAGGAAGCCCAAGGACAGAACGACTCACACTTGAGGCGTCGTTCTCAGATCGCGATTGTATCAATAGGCAAGTCGGCCTTCCCCTGATCTGCAAAGTTCTGTGTCATTACATACAAGAGCAGGACAAGATGACGGCATTTAACTTGAGAACATTTATCAGAGCTAGCCCAGTAACAAACCCACTCGTCGAGGCAGCAATGGTGCTCCCAGACCAAACAAACACCAATCAGGACCACCCACCCTACATCGAGGTGGTGACTAACAATGCAGGTGGATCTCAAAGCTACGAACAAACACCAAAAGTCTGAGTCGGTAAGGAAGGTAAACAATCGAGCAATCCAAGCCCTACTGGCTTAGAAAATCATTTGCATTTCTGTTTGAATTTGTGCAATAAATGCACTCCCAAATGTCAACAACAAAATAAACCTGACGAAGCGATTCATTCCTCCTCCCCCTCATCCTAGAAGTCCCTGAGCAGAACTTACAGTCTGATCAAATATATTGCAGCTCACAGCAAGATAGGAAGGCGACGCATGTGCAGAAGTACTTGAACAAAAAGTCGACAAATATCTTTGGCGCTGAATCCATGTCAAAAGATTCCACCGACAGAAGAGGTGCCAGCAGGATACGGAAACGCAGCAAACGCTTGGAAGACACAATGCTTAGTGGGCTCAGAACATCTGCAGATGCTCTCACAAGAATGGGACTGCTACCATGAACAGTCCGCCGATGAATAGCATCGCGATGTACAAAGGACTGCTGCATGCTGTGCTCGGAACCTCGCTATCGTCTTTACTTGGCCCTCCAGAACACATACCCACCTGCCAAAAACTATCTTACTGATTTTTTTCTCAATTCATTTGGCCTCAATAGGTTGTACCGACCGTTTGGCCCGACTAAGGTCAGTATGCGCTGGTGCTACCTTAGGACCAGACACAGTAAATGTTCGTCGGGTGAGACAGAAAGTGCCTAAATGGGGTCGTCAATATATGCTACGTCAAAGTGCGATATTACTCATTCCGAAAAAAAACAGAGACATCATCTCCCTCACAAGAGAAGTTCTCGTGAGAAAAAGTATGGCAAACAAGACGCGTTATGAAATCGAACGCAAAAGTCGAAAAAAAAGTTAGCCTAAAAAAATAAAACGCGAACTTGTAAGCGAAAAAAATTGCAAAACCGAGAAATGAGAGAGCAAGCGTGAGGGCGCGTACTTTTGTGGACGCCGTCGATGTGCCTCTTGACGTCTGCGTTGCGTGCGAAGGCCTTGCCGCACATATCACACGTGTGCGTCCGCAATTCTGCAACACAAATTAAAACGATCTAAACAGTCAGGAGTTTTATTCTTACACAGTGACTTTATGATTTCAAAATTGAGCTGCTAACTGGGTCTACCTTATCGAAATAACAATTTCAAAAATTTTAAAAAAGAACATGAGAACATGTCAGGTGCTAGGGTATTTTCAGTCCAAAAGATTGGTGTAGCTAGGTCATAGGCAGTGAAAAATGCCTCGAGGTGCGAAACGTACAGTCATAGTAGCGAGGCATGCATAGGGGTGTACTGCTATGTTCTCGGCCAGGTGTCTAAAGTATACACAGAATCACAATCCTGAATAATATCAGGGCACTGTCTCTGATGATGGGTTCAAGTGAGAATCCGAAATGTCAGGCGAATAAAACCCTTGTCCCAGCGATCGCTTCCTCGTCTGATCAATATCAGGGCTATATGGCAAAACGGTAAGCACTAGGGACAACTATTCTCCGCATTGGCACAGATTACTAAGATGCTGCAAGCACTTCTCAGGGTGCGAAGCGTGGCATGAGAGTAAGCTGCTCCAGTATGCTATTCTCGGACAAGGCCGATATTTGATTGCCACATAGACGTTGCTTAAAGCCCTGACACTATCGTGAATAGTTTTCATCAAGGATTCGGCTGAACCTGCTGTAAATTGTGGTCGATGATGAACGCCAGTGACCGGAAAGGGATTCGGTGAATTTGCCTACGGTTAAATAGACTCAAAACCGTGCTCGGATGGCGAGACAAGTATACGGCTTGCGATTAGTAGTTAACAAGAGAAAACAGCTCGTATTTGACTGTCAGTCCCTATCTAGTATTTAATTTCAAAACGTATTCTCTGTATCATTGCAGCCTGAATATAGTCACATTAGAATACCAAATTACACAGGCAACTGGCTGTGGGCTTACTTGCGATGACACGGAGCAATGGCTGGCGTGATGCAAAGCTTCCATATAATGCACGTCAACGCATGTATAACAATAGTTAAGGACACAGGTGATCGCGGCGACTCCCACTAGCGCATGCCATCAAATAGTGTAGCCCCCCTACTGATATACCGTAACGGTGGCAGAATGAGGTAAATCCGTTTTGGGTAATCGGCGCACAGTTGCTGAATCCAAAACCACCACTTTAACTGAAAGAAACTGTAACCTGTACACACGAGGCAACGAAATGTATCATCGAGTTTCCCACTGAAATTTGCACAATAAAAGCATCTTCAGAGGCTGCCTGGAAATACATTTCTGAAAGTCACTGTTAAATTGTGGTCGTCGGAAATAAAGACCATAACTACGCGTTGCGTACGTGGATGGAAACAAACGAAGCAAGTGGTTGGCTGATAAAGAGAAACAACCAGTCAGAAAGGAGCATACACGTACTTTTGTGGATACCATCGACATGCTGCTTCAGGTGTCCCTTGTGTGCAAACGCTTTGCCACAGAGGTCGCAAGCGTGCTCTCGCAGTGCTAAAATACATGAACGAATAAAATTGATCAAAAAATCACGCGACTAAAAAGTGTTTTAGTTTGTGAAGATTGCCCTCTCCCTTAATGCAAGAGATGACGCACCGAGCTCGCTAATGTCCGCACTTACGCCGCCAAAGCGAATCCGTGATTTGACTGGTTGTTAGGTGTAAATACCTACCACGGCTGTGAGATGTGTTATATTAGAAGTGAATACGTGTTAGCGTTTCTGAACCACCGAGAGCGGATGAGGGACGTCTGAACTCCAAATGAATGAACATGCAAGCATGAACGTTTAGACGGTCCACAACGCAGTTTAAACTTATACATTGAGGTAACTCAGTTATTAGTACTACGCTCTCGGAGGGCTCTGTGGCCGTTGACGGTGGAAACAGATTTGCGTTTAGGTTAAATGATCAAACTTTTCAGTAGGACGATAACTAGACAGAACTTCTTTAGCATGACTTAGTCCTAACTGACCAACTCATTTTAAGATTGAGCGGCGCGGTGAAGTCTTGTCGTATCTTTACTCCCACATTGGATCTGTCGGTGGAAACCCGTGTACTGGCACAAGTTCCCTCAGCGCTTTCCTAGCAGGAAACATCAGCAAAACCTAAGAGAAGGGCCGCCGAGATAAAAAAATATCGACGGTAAGGTATAGGTACTGCTTGAGATATAAAATTATCTTTAAATGAGGGCAGTTTCTGTCGGTGGCGAAAAGTAGAATAAGACACTACGACACTATGGGACCTATCCATACGAATATCACTGTCAAAAAACGCTTGCTAACATACTTAAGCAACACCAACCGAGAAAGAAACATCTGTGGAGAAATGAATCCTTCTCTTTAAATATTAAGAGACTTTAGGGAAGGAGATCCGGGAAAGGTACTGATGCTCAGTCTTACGCATGTCAATGGGCTTACGTATGGTGCACGAAGACCTGAGATCTCAACCTGCTATTTTTCACAATATTCTCGCATATTTTGGGACATCAGTCGTCTTAATGTTAAACTGTTTTCCACAATTTGTAAACCTCCGTTCGTTCATAAAGATGCAATCAGAACCCACACAGTAATTCTCCATGCCAAATCATTAAATAGCAGACTATACATGCAATAAGTGGCTCTTATGCTTAACTAGGTCACAAATCTGCAGAAATAAACTATGGATAAAATAAATGTCGATAGCAGAAGTAAAATAATACTAACACAAAGGGTGGTCAACATTGAGACCTTCCATGACATCCTTGCAGTTGGGTTCATTCAGCTCAGGCGTGGTACACTGAATCTCTGTCAAAAGTATATAGCGCGAAAAACAGAACAACCTGAAGTTTCCGCCGACATAAGTGTCCACACATCAGATAATCAGATCGAAAGAGCCACTTTTCACTGCATGTAATACTTGAAGTAAAAGCGTAGTGTTTGCAAGGGAATCAGAGATTCCCAAATATCTTGTTGCTTTTAGGGAAGGCTTTTCAGGTGCGCCAAGCGAGCCAACGCTATAGCAGGACCTATTTAAACTGTTACGCAGTTGGTTACTTTTGCGTTCACCGCCTACATTTCAACCTACTTAAATCATATCACAATATAAATTGGCGACCTGATGTCTTTGTCAATGTTTAATTGGCCACTCTTTGTACTCATCCCGTGTTGCACACTATAAATTGCTCCAGAGTATTTTTGCAGTTTTCTTCCCAAAACATCCACTTGGACTGTCAAAATAAGCAAGCCTGTCGTTCTTAATATATTATATGCTAAGGGTGGGGTGTAGGGGTGTCAGCGGTGGGTTCACGTAATGGTCGTGGTGGTCGCTCACTTGCTTGCAGGTGAGACTGCGCCTAGCGTCCACTTGCTGGCACACAACTCTCACCTGTGGCTCCACGTAGCTGGGCTCTGCTCAGCGGCCACACCCCGGGCAACCGTCTCGACCGGCGNAAATACGGGACCTGGCTACCAACTGCGATCTAACCGAATACTTTTATGCATTTTTTCATGAAATACAATTGAACTTTTAAGGGCATCGAAAATCAATGAGAAAATGGCATGCTACTTAAGTAGTCGTATTTTGCAGAGTATAGGTCTTGCATGTAGTCGGAAATAAGTTCGTTTGAAAGAAGGCAACTGGATCATTAAAGAATTAGGCCGGACGATGATTTTTATTACAACCATACTTAATTAATCTTTTCGAAACGAGAACGCATTTCGAAATTTCGGCCGACATTTCATGAGTTAGCCCACCTACTGTAGTTTGCTGCTAGCAGAGCGAACCACCAGCGCAGCTGACGTCATTCAACTGACGACAGACAGGGTGCAACCTAACTGAACGGCTAAGAGAAGTTACGCAATAGTGGGGTGAAAGCAGGACTTGACCACTGCGATGAGTCTGGCCGGCATAAGGGCTAGCTGCATCAGTCGCCGCAGTGACTCATAATGAAGGTGTGATGTAAACAGAGCAGAAAGTCGCAATCATGACGCAGTTAGAGAACGCACGCGCGGTGTACACATTCGGTCGGTGCATTCAAACACGTCCATCTCGAGATCTGACTTGGGTGGGCGTCGTCCCTCAGTACTCCGCACTCTCAAACAGCCTAAGAACGTAAACAGAGAAGACCATTGCAGCGGCATTGATGAGACTTATGTCGCAGTAGGTCTCACACAGATACCGGAGTCCCAGTCATCAGAAGCGATCTCATCTTTCTAAGCATATTCAAGTAAAGGGACGCCGCCAATTTCAACGCAAGATTTGTAGGTTTCAGTGGGAACGCCGTTCTCCACGAGCGCCCTGTTGGTGTGCAGCCTCGGTATTTCAAAGGCGATATATTTCTTGGAAGGAAGGTTATACGACGGTGAAGAGGCCAGAGAAGAATAAAACTCCGGTGCAGAGGAGAAAATAGATGTTATTGGTCGGTCATCGAAGTAAAACCGGCACTCGAAGTGCTCACACGTGTGCTTGGCCTCGATAGTAATCAGAAACCAATTCGCCAATCACATCACGAAAAGAGTCGCTCAGTGCGTGAAATAGGACCTCAGTCGTGGTTAGGTAAAAGGGATAGAGTGACGTTAATCCCTCTTGGAGACGCCACTTAGATTGTTCCTAGGCCATAAATGTCGGCTGGTAGTTTGGGAAGGAAGCAAAGTGCCTACATGCATTCTCTCATGATGAAAATAAGTGATAGGTAGTCGGCCTGCAAAAGACATCGATAGAGGTCCTGTAAAAACTCACCGTCCTTAATCCATCCCCACTATTTGCACCGTAAGCAAACAAATCACACTGAGCACTCGTTGAGTGGAAAATAAATGTGAAACGGGTTTATTTCAGAGCGAGGTGCAAAATGACGGCACTCCCCTCAATACTGAACTACATAGGAACCAAGAGGCCATATGCGCCTCTTCATATCTGCTTCCGACCAAAATTGAAAATAACTAACATGGCAACACCGAAGCAGGAGAACTGGTCGCTTCGTAGTTTCTGCACATGAAATCCCGGAAGGTTTGGACGACTTGTGTTTGCGTGGGCCCCAAATGAACAGCATAAACACTAGAATAAGCCCATAAGGTTCAGGCGAGTCTTCACGATTAAGACCGGAAAGAATAGGTTAAAAATCACATAACATGGCTAACAAACGCAGTCAGCGTCCACCAAACTAGTGGCCGGTTTCTAGAAAAGC